AGCCCACAGCCTCCCACATCCTAAGCAAATGTTCTTTCACTGAGCCAAATCCCCAGCCCAGTGTGTTTCAGTGAGGAAAGGCTCCCTCTCCAGAGGCTGGCAGCCTTCTGTTGGGATGGACCAAGACTTAGAGGAGGCTGCAGGAGACGAGGTGCAGAGAGAAAACAGAAAGGCGTGGGGGAAGTTGGCAAGGTGTTTGCAATCTGCGGATATATGTGGGGAGCAAGACTGACTGCTGGAGGTTGATGACCAACCCGATTCAGAGCCAGGGCCTGATCATGAAACTCAGGCTGGCCTCAAACCTGTGATCCTCCTGCCTCAGCTTCCTGAGTTCTGGGATTACAGGTATCTTTACATGCCCCTCCTGGATTGTATTTAATCTGTTCTTGTTAAAGCTGTTGTTTTTTTATTATGTTTAGTGTATTCTCCAGCCCCACCCCCTACCCCGATGCTGTGGATGAAACGCTGAAGGTACAAGGCTAGCCCTCCAGCTGCAACCCAGCACTCTACATTTCATCTGGATGTCTTACTTAATTAAATCATAGCCATGTAATAAAATACGTTTAAAATAGCTTCCAGATTCTAAGTTACTCAGGGTAGGGTAGGACCTTTTAGAAATGAAAACTTAACGGGGCTGGAGAGATGGCTCAGTGGTTAGGAGCTCACAATGCTCTAGCGGAGGACCTGAGTTCAGTTCCCAGCACCCATGTTGAGTGGTTCACAACCACCTGGAACTCTGACACCTTCTTCTGACCTTCTCAGGCCCTGCACACACATGTACGTGCCAGATACGTATACAAACAATTTTTAAAAAAAGAAAAAAATAATGAAAATGTTTAAGTATTGCCAGCAGGTCAATGTATTGCTCTTTAATATTCAGGTTTAAAAGGTTTTATTTATTTAAATTCATTATTATTATTATTGCATGTATGTGTCACGGTGCACTTGTGGAGGTCAGGGGACCACACTGTGGAGTTGGTTTTCTCCTGTTTCCATGGCTTCAGGGGGTTGAACTCAGGTCTCCGGACCTGTGTGGTCTGCCCGACTTCTGCCATTGAGCTATCCTGCCATTGCCAGGTTTCAGATTTTAAATACATACTTCATGAAGAGTTCCCGTATTAACGATTTCATCTTGAGCCAGAGATGGTGAGGTACTACTGTAACTCTAGCACTCTGGAGATTGAGGCAGGAGGATGAAGAGTTAGTTATAGGCCAGCCTCGTCTACATATTAAGATCCCATCATAAAAAGCAAACACCCAAGACAAAACCTACTAAACAGTCTCATGTCTTATATGCATCATTTATTCACTTATAGGTAAACTATCTCTTGGACTTACTGAGTCTTGGGATGAATTTAGCCATTTAAAAAAAACCTAAGGTGGAGAATTTGGACTGTATCAAGCTGATAATAGGGAAAAACAAACAAACTAATTAATTAATTAATTAAAAAAACCAAGGTGGGGCTGGTGAGATAGCTCAGCAGATAAAGTCTGATGACTTTAGTTCTTAACCCTCAACAGCAAGGTGAAAAGTGAAAGCTGACCCCCCACCCCCACCCGAAGCTGTCCCCTGGCTTCTGCATGAATGTCCTCACACCTCATATTCACACAGTGATAAGAAATGCAATTTTAAGAATAAAATACAAATCGAAGGTGGGTAGTTCAATGGTATCGCGCTCACCTAGCCAGCACGCCCAAAGCCCAGATTTAGTCTCCACCACCGCAAAAATAAATGGATAAGAATAAATTAATTGACTCTTTCAATCAAAAATGCTACAGTAACTCACCTGGTTAAAATGTGCCCATTAAATCGTGAGCAGGACACACAGGAAGAAACCAAGTAATCGTGAACCTGCAAGGTCATCGCCCACTTGGCTAGTCTTTCAGGTCATGTGACTCACGTTACTATTTTTCAAGGCATTCATCAATGAGCCTTTAACTTTATTTTCGTTTAGATTTGTCTCAGGAAGGTTTTGAACTTGTCGTGAGAGGCTGAGAGCAAGCTTCAGTTGAGGAAGGAAGCCCCAGCCACAGGGCAGCTTCGGGGCTTGGGGAAACCCCTGTTGAGGATGCTCACGCTGCAGAGGCGTCCCCGGGAGATCATGACCGTTGGTGCGAGCCCTGGAAACTCATCAACAATGAGAACAGGAACCTGAGCTGAAGGTTTGGTGACAGACAACGTGGGCAGAACGGGACAGTGAGGATCCGGGTGGACAGATTTCATAAGAAAGTATGGAGCAAGAGGTTCTGACTAAGCTGGCAACCCTGCCCCAGCTGAAGGATGGGTTCTAGGAACAGAGACCTGACAACAATCTTGGGAGACAAGCTGTAGGCAGGAAGTCGGCCAGATCCACCACCCGGGAACAGAGAGGGGGAGGGGCGGTGGGCAGAGAACGAGAACCCCCGGGTTCCAAGGTTATTTTGTTGCCAAGTCCTGAGGTTGATCTAGTTCATTACAGACTTACTTCTTCCGGTTGGAGATGAGGAACAGCTTTGCTGATGGTTGCAAGAGAGCAAGAAGAAAATAATTCACCAATAGCCAGCTAAGTGGGCTAAGCCAACACCGGAAGAAGTGATGACATTCAGCCACCCAGCATCAGCTTGCCACAGGAAACCCACGCGGAAAGTTACCAACGATGCCCCAGGAAGCCACGAGCCCCTGACGTGCTCCGCTGAAATCCCGGCTAATACTTTGGTGAGAGAGAAGACCGTGGGAAACACTCTTCGGCAAGCAGCTATCATGTGAGGTGGAAATGCCACCGGGGTGCAGGGACAGGTAGAGACTTGGGAGTTGGGCTACCAGGTACCGATGAAGAACATGATGGGTTCGAACCTTCCTTTATTCCTGCCCAGCTCTTAGCGGGGGTCTTCGCTGAGTTTTCTTTTCCTGTTAATTCATACCTAGTTCAGAGCAAACAGTTAAGGATTGATGGCAGCGAATGTTCACTCTTGAATGTCCCCCAACTTTACAGGCTTGGGGTAGTATCCTGCACTGTGTGTGTGTGTGAACCATTCTTCGGAGGCAGCTATTCACAAAATTATCCAGAGCATCGGGACCTGAAATACAAAACACCTCTAGTAGCAGACACTTTGGCCCAGAACTCACTTTGTAGACCAGGCTGGCCTCAGACTCACAGAGATCCACTTCTGCCTCCCGAATTCTGCAATTATAGGCATGTGCCACCACGTCCAGCTAAGGATCATGTCTTGTTGGATCATATGTAAAACTGTGAATGTGGGGCTATAGAGATGGCTCATGATTAAGAGAGCTTGCTGTTCTTGGAGAAGACCCAGGTTTGGTTCCCAGCATCCACATGGCAGCTCATAAGCATGACTCCAGTTCCAGTGGATCTGATGCCCTCTTCTGACCTTCTCAGGCACCAGGCATGCACATGGTGGCATGTACAGACGCACATGCTGGCAAACACTCATACATCTAAAAAAAGTATTTAAAACAAACCAACTAACTGTAAATGCTACAACGGGTTCACTTCAGAGCTGCATAGTGTGTCTAAAAGACAGTAGGACTCTTAACTCTTAGGGGCAGCAGAGATTTTCCAAAAGTGCTTAGGGGAACTCTTCAAAGAAGGGGGACTCTGTAACAAAGGCTTCTAAGCCTACTTCATGGTTGGGGGTGAGGCATGCCTTTGTCTTTGTTTGTTGAGTTTTTCAAGCGTGTCTTTCTCTGTATAGCCCTGGCTGTTCACCTTTGTGGATATTAAAAGTTTTCCAAGTGTATTCCTACAGTCCACAAGTTACAATCTTCTTTTCCCTAGGCTTATAAATACCATGGCAAAACATCATTTAGTCATTCACATGTTCATTGAAGAAGCAGAGAACAGCTGAGGTTTTCGTGCCCGCCCCATGGAGCTCCTCTGTAGACCTGCACGGTTGGAGAAACACCTAAACAAAGCCATCAGAGGTCAAGTGACGTGTCACAGAGGGTGACAGAGGGCTCTCTAAGTGCCTCCTCGGAGGATTTAAATGAGGCCACATTGTCTGACAGTCCACTGGCTCTCACAGCTGGGGGAGAGCAGGGTTCAGACTTGGTGTAGTCAGGGAAAAAGGTGAAGGTTTAAACTTGAGGCTTAGCAACTGACTTATGACCTTACATCATTTAGGCACATGATAGACTCTAAACTGGACGGTTGTGCTAGGCATGTAGCTCAGGGGTACAGAAATTGCCCAGCAAGAGTGAGACCTGGAGTTTCATTCCCAGCATCAAAAAGAAGGAAATATAAAGGAATAAGATCAGTAGTCTAAAAGCGAGATGGGAAACAGCATGTTCAAAAGGCTGAACTGCTAGGCAGGTGAGACGGTTTCAGCTTGTAAAGGGGCTGGCCATCGAGCTTGAAGGCCTGAGAAGTGACTCCCACGAGTCGTCCTCTGGCCTCCACATGCCCACTGTGGCGTGAGGCTGCCTCCCCCACCCCTACTGCAAATACAGAAATGTAATAAGCAAATTTAAAAGCTTCATTTCCAACCAATGTTTGCAGTTTGTAATGAGATTCAGAAGATTAATTATACTGGGGTCCTAATAAATTTTAAATATAATTTCCATCCTCTCTCTCTCTCTCTCTTTGCTCTCTCCCCATCTCAAGGAGAACAGCCAGGAAGTTCTGGCATTTCTTAAACACTACCACTTATTGTAGAAGGCAGATGTGTGCACAGTGCATCTAAAGAGACATGAATGTCATAAATACACATACATTCTGTGTAGGTTCAGCATTTGGGTGTCAGTATTCTAACTGTGGACAAAGCGAGATAGTGCAGGGGTAGCCGGGGTAGTCAGGACAGGCAAGAGTGTTCATGCATTTAATGTGCCTTTTTTTGTGATAGACCACCTACTGTGTAGTGCCATCCGCTCAGATTTTTCAATCTAGCACTATTCTAAGAAATCAGGACTATTGCATAATTGAGGCAGGGTGGAGCGAATGTCAAAACAGAAATCCTAAGTGGGATAGGAGGCATTTCTTTCTAGTTGTTCATGGGATTGAACACGTGCCTCCTCCACCCAACCCCCCACCTCCAGCCTCCCCCAGGCTCAGCACACTTCCAGCCCTGGGATTAGGGGATGCTAACCAGTGGTTTAGTAAATCTAGGGACCACCTGGGAAGTTCCTCCCAAGACCTTGGCTGGGCTGCTTGGCCTAGACTGCCATACCCAGAGGTGGGGTCTCCGGGCAGCGGGGAGCCCCTCCCGCTGAGCTCGCTTCTGCCCTGGTCGCCCGGGGCAGGGGGGCTTGGCACGGCTGTCTCCGATGGCCCCAGTGGGAGGGTCACGGCTAAGACACCCGGCCCATCTCATTGTTTCAAGCCGGCTTCCTCTTCTGGCAGAGGCCAGCGGCTCCCGCTGAGCGGGAAGGGGCCGGGACGCTGCTGGAGCCCTCGGGATGTCTACCTCTGCTGCTCCTTCCCCTCTCCAGGAGCTCGCGTTTCCCGGGGTGTGTGAGCATTCTCAATAAAAAGGGAAAAGCACCATCCAAGTGAATTTTCCAACGCCGAGAGGAAATGCTGTTTCCTGCATCGTACAAGACTGGTGCCAATAAGACTGCTACAGGAGCCCATTGTCCGGCTAACAATGTGTGATGGGGAAGGGCGCCTGAGAAAACAGACCCGGGGCCACGGTGAGCGTTTGATCCTTCCCTGCAGGGCTAGCTTGTGTGTGTGTGTGTGTGTATGTGTGTGTGTGTGTGTGTGTGTGTGTGTGTGTGTGTGTGTGTAGTGTAGTGTGTGTAGTGTGAAATGATAGGTATCTGTGGAGTGTGTGCATCAGGCAGTGTATGGGAGTGTGTGTCTGTGTGGAAGAGTACGCATTAGTCTGTGTGTGAGAATATGTGTGATGTGTGTCTGTGTAAGAGTGTGCATGGGCCTGTGTGTGATGTCTCTACAGGCATGTATGTGTGTGCATGATGAGCCTATGTATATAGTGTCTTGATAGGTGTATGTGCATGCTTGTGAACGTGTGTGCATGTGTATGTCCGTACATGTGCGCGAGCTTGGGGGGGGGGGTGGTAGGCGGGTGCGCGCGCGCACGCGCGCGCGCAAGGGTCAAGGCTCAGGCTGGTCAAGGCACAATGCATCCCTTTTTGCAGGCTTGTGCTCCTCTGGTGGGCTCTCAAAGATGGGAACAGACTGGAAAAACAGCAAAGAAGAGCATAGAAATGGAAAGAAAAAAGGAAAAACAACAGTCTCCAGGTCACTCCGTGTAGAGCCACTCAGCAAGTCCCCTGGCTGCCGACGCTGTGCGGAACCCAGCAGCCTCGTAGTCAACATGGGACAGCACCCAGCCCAGACACAGGTGCTAGAGCGCCAGTGTCCCGTGCGTGCCCGGCGGGGTACCCTGCGCCGGCGGGCCCGGAGGTGATGGAGCTGGGAGGCGACTGGGCGTGCGCACACCCGCACACCGGCCCGGGCCCACCTGGGCGCCCGAGGTCAGGGCCTTGGCCAGAGTGTCACCTCCCTGCCCTCGGCGCTCACGTAGTCGGCGTGTTCGGGACGTGAAGTGCCGACCCAGAGGCTGCTCCGGCCAGGGCATGGGCTGGGCGATAAACAATCACACAGGATACACAACACCCTGGACTGTCACAAGTCCCTCGCAGGAAAAGATAAATAACATCTGAGGAGCCGCGGGCGCAGCTTCCCCCAGCAGAACAAAAAACTCTGGAGAAGTAAACAACAGGGCCGGGAAGAGTTCACACACTAGCCCTGGAGGCTGAGAGAGGCCACCTCTTCCCCGGGGGCCGCTTACTCAGGGGCTCCTTCCAGCGCAAATGACACGCACGCACACGCACAAAGGCACGCACACGCACAAAGGCACACAACACGCATGCATGGTTCAAATCGAGCCCTTTACAATGATTGGCAAAGCAGGGCATAGTGGCACAAACCTACCTATACTGCACTTCCCAGGCAGGAAGTCGCAGGCCAGCCTGGGCTACGTAAAGGAAACGTATTGTACCTGAGCTACATACCAATGAACAAGAGATTGGCAGTTGTCACACTCTGGGTAGGAACCTTGTTTTCTGGGCTCTGCAAGAGTTGTCTGTGCAAGAGGCAAGGAGGGGAGGTGTGTTTTTCTGGACTGGAAGACTGAGGATTTCCTGTAAATACAACTCTTTCCTTAAGGTTTGCTCTTGGAGTCATAGTCAGTGACATGAAACCCACCCTGGTCACCTGTAAAGGAAATCACAGCTATCCAAACCCGAGGAACACAATGAATGAATACAATAAAGTGTTCAAGATACACACTCAAGGGTCCACTTGGTGACCTTTGTTACCTCTCACCTGGAGTGTGATTTTCCCAAAGCAGCCCTCCCGTTCCGTGAGCCTCCTGTGGGCCGGCCAGACCTCTACACTGCCCTAGCTGCTGCACACAGATTTACATCCCTACCACAGCCTGCTCTCCTCTCTGTATCCTTCGATTCAGTCATGTTTGTCTCCTGGCAAATAATTGGCTGTGGTGGTTTGAATGAAAACGGTCACCTTAGACTCGTACATTCAAATGCTTGTTCTCCAGTTGGCAGGACTGTATGGGAAGAATTAGGGAGGTGTGCCACTTTCAAACACCCTGGCTATTCCCTAAGTTAGCTCTTACATCTCCCAGGATGGAGGCTCTCAGCTACCGCTCCAGTGCCATGCCAGCCTGCTTGCCGCCACGCTCCCCATCACGATGGTCGTGGACTCTACGCCTCTGAAACTATAAGCCTCCAATAAACTCTTTCTTCTCTAAGTTGCCTTGATCATGGTGTCTTAGCAGAGCAATAGAAAAGTAATTAAGACATTCATGTAATGTTTTGGGGGTACACAGAGGAGGCTAAAGATGGGGGTGTGGGAGGTGTATGAGACAGCCAGTTTCTAAATATAATTCACGTGAGCCTAATATCTGTGCAGCATTTGGATCTCAGACCCTACATTCAGAGTGACCTGCAGACGTAGTATATCTCCTTTTCTGGATTCTTTCTCATGCCTCTCGTGTGTGCCAAGAGGATACACCTGGGTTGGATGTGGGCACAAATAAGTAGGTAAGTGATCGGTTGGATGACAGGATCCATGTGTTCTGATCCCAACACTGATGGAATCCTATGGGAAATTTCAGTTTGTGGCACAGCCCTCCCCACCCTCTGTACTGGTAATGTGCGTGCTGTCCTAGGCAAGTGGTTCGTCTTTGGCCGAGCACGTAACATACTTGGAGCACAGCAGGCCCTCGATGGACACTTATTCACTGCAGAGCGGGAATTCTGTGAACTCATTGATTTGATTGGGAAGTGAGACAAGTTAAGATTGCACACGCAACTCACTTTGATGCTACGACATACGTCACTGGAAGACCACATCGGAGCGCTGGGTGAATCACTAATGAGGACATTTTTAGCCCTTTGTGTCTTCCAGGGTTGATCACGCAAGGGCCAAGTGGGAAAGAATGCAGCAGCCAGCCACACAGATCACAACTCGCCCAGGGAGTCTAGGGCAAGGCACCAGAGATATGGTCAAGAAGTGAGTTTAGCCACAGTCTGTGTGAAAAGTGCAGGCTTTCATTCAGGGTCCACTCTGTGTTGTCTAGACCAGCTCTGTGTTTCAGTTCAGAGTCTTCAGATCGGGAGGGATTAAGAGAGATCACTTTTGGGCCCGTGAGATGACTCTGCTTAGAGGCACTTGCTGTAAAAGTCCAGCAATATGAGTGATCATTTCTTGGAATCCTTATGGTGGGAGGGGAGAATTGAGTCCTGCAAATTGTTTCACACACACACACACACACACACACACACACACACACACACACACACACACACTGTGATATGCATGTTCCTCCCACAATAAATAAATGTTAAAATGACATATTCACTGAGAGGAGAGGGACCAGAGGAAAGAGAAATTCACCGTCACATTATATAAATGGGCTCTCAATGTTGGAACCTGTTATCTTAAAACAGGCACTGACACTATGTAGGTTCTCTTGGGACCTGGGGTGTAGCATGAATCTTAAAAGTTCTTATTAATAAAATCAAACCTGAGGCCAGTTATTGGGGTCAATGCTGGTAGATCAGAGACAGAACAAGCCACAGCTATCTCACCTTGCCAATTCCTCAGCTGGTCCTGTTTCCTCAGACTGGAAGCTTCTGTGTCCTCATCCCAATGGCTCTCAGCTGAACTGCTGCTAGAAGTCCTGAACACTTAACCAGCCAAATGCTTAACTAGGCAAATGCTTAACCAGGCAAATGCTTCTAGTTTCTGGTCCTCGTGCCTCATAAGCCTTTCTGCTTTCTACCACCACTCCCTGGGATTAAAGGCTGCTTTCTGGGATTAAAGGTGTGAGTCACCATGCCTGGCTGTTTCCAATGCGGCCTTGAACTCACAGAGATCCAGAGGGATTTCTGTCTCTGGAATGCTAGGATTAAAGGCGTGTGCTAACATTTTCTAGCCTAAGTATCTTGTGGCTTTTCTGTTCTCTGACCCCAGATAAGTTTATTAAGGTACACAATATTGTGGGGAACACAATACCACCACACTGGGGGTGGGGTGGGGGGGAGACAGGCCAGTCAGTAGTAGAGTGATTGACTAGCATGCAATGGTTCAGTATGGGTCCGGGAGGTCTGCAGGTTTGCACACCCCCAAAACAAGTAGACAGAGACTTTAGCAAAGCTAACTGGCTCAGACTCAGCAGCACCAGTGAATGTTGCTTAGGATCAGTGGTCCCGTGATGGACCCACCAGGGAAGCCCCAAAGGAGAGCAGTAATTGTACATAGCCGCACAGTCACTGATAACTGTGTGTTCGGTTCATGTGGGCTCTCAACTGAGGAGGCAGGGAGATCCATGAAGGTCCCTTACAGAAGACCCTGGAGACCCTTTACCAGGGACACTGTAAGGAAGGATTCAAGCGTTCCTTTGAGAGCCTTATTTTGTTTTGTTTTTCTCTGTGTGACAGCCTTGGCTGTCCTGGAACTCACAGAGATCCGCCTGCCTCTGCTTCCTGAGTGCTGGGATTGAAGGTGTGTGGCGTCATGCCTGGTTTGAGAGCTTGTCCTAAGGTCCCTCTTCATCTGTTTTTTTTTTTTTTTTTTTTTTTTTTTTGGTTTTTTGAGACAGGGTTTCTCTGTGTAGCTTTGCGCCTTTCCTGGATCTCGCTCTGTAGACCAGGCTGGCCTCGAACTCACAGAGATCCACCTGGCTCTGCCTCCCGAGTGCTGGGATTAAAGGCGTGCGCCACCACCGCCCGGCCCCTCTTCATCTGTTAACAAACAGTCTGCTTCTGTTTTGCTGCGTGTTTACTTTGCATTCCTATAATTTTTTAAGGCCCAATGAGACCATTAAGGTACATTTCTATTACTGTCTTACAGAGAAAAATGAATACCATGGAAATAAACAAAAATTAAATTTTCTGGCCCCTAGATTAGATGTCAAGATATTTCAATCTATATAGGACTAGTTAATCTGGAAATTAGCTTAGTGGTAGAACACTTGCCTAGCATCTCAGGGCTACGGGTTCTGTTGCCTGAGTTGTAAAGACAGCTAGTCTATTCTGCTTGTGGTAGGGTTAACATGACAGTGTAAACTAACAGAACTGAACTCCTAAACGGGTGATTTTACTCTATATAAACTGGAGGCATAGTGGCGCACGCCTTTAATCCCAGCACGCAGGAAGCAGAGGCAGGTGGATCTCTGTGAATCTGAGGCCAAGCTGGTCTACAGAGTGAGTCCCAGGACAGCCAGAGCTACATAGTAAGATCTTGTCACAAAACAAAAAAAAACTATACTTCAAGAAACCTGATTTTTACTTTATGTGCATGAGTATTTTGCCTGCATGTATGTCTGTGCACCATGTGTGTGCTGTGCTCATGGAGGCCAGAAGAGGTCAGGCATTGGATCCCCTGGAACTGGAGTTACACATGGTTGTGAGCTGCCATGTTGGGTGCTGGTAACTGAACCTGGTCCTCTGCAAGAGCAGCCAGTGCTCTTAAATGTTGAGCCATCTTTCCAGCCCTTCTATCATACTTTTAATAGTTATCTTTTGATAATTTGCATAAAATTGCTCTTCAGTAAATTTTGAGTGAGTGAATGCCTGAATCTAAGTGGAGGTTCTACCTCTTAGCGAAGTCCAGTTGCTCGGAAGTGAAATTGGAAAAGCTTGCTGGTCTGCTCCTGAACTCTTGGAGGAGGCGTAGGAGGGTGTGGACAGGCCACAAGGAGCAGCGTCCAGAAGACAGGAGGCTTTCTGCGGAATTCTTACTCATTCGGGGAACTCCCAGCCACAGTCCTGAGAGTGCAAAGTGCAGACACTGTTGGAGGGGCTTCACAGTCACCCTGTGGTGCAATCACTCAGGGTTGTACTGCTTGAGTAGCAACCTACGTCCATCATCACGTGTGTGTGTGTGTGTGTGTGTGTGTGTGTGTGTGTGTGTGTGTGTGCCCGTGTGTAGTGGGAAGCCCCCAGCCTCCCTGAATATGACTTACTAAAGGAGGGCCAGTGAGTGAGATCACTGCGTAGCAGATAACATCTGTAGAATCAAGGTCCAGGCTGGGGATTCTGTGGGCAGGCAGAAGATACTCAAAGTGAAAATACTCCCCCAAGGAACCCCATTTCCTTCTCATTCCCGACCCAGTGATCTTCTTTTAAGATTCATTATACAGAATATGGAATTATGGGCTATGCCCTTCCAATTCAAATAACCCACTACCTTGTATCCCTGGGAGACTGTGGCTGGTTTGAGATGGACAGGAAAATACACAAATTTATGTTTAGAGAGCAATTACTTCACTTTCATTTTGTCAAGTGACCCCTTCCATAAGACACCCCCTTCCTCTTCCTCTTCTTCCTCCTCTTCCTCTTCCTTCTTCCCTTTTTTATCTTAAAACCATCCTAGCCATTTTCAGTATTGTTAACTAGATTCATACTGTTGAGCAATCTTTCTGTCCCGTGAAACTGAGGCTGTCCCGGCAAGCACCAACTCCGAATTCCTCCCTCCCCTCCAGATCCTGGCCATCCGCTGTACGAAACGGACTCCTCTGGGAGGCTCACATGGGCAGAATTATATAGGGTCTGTTTTGTTCCTTGTTTCCCTTGGCACAACGTGTTGCAAGATCAGCCACAGTGTGTGGATGAATCAGAAGCTGTGGGAGTACCCAATGACTGGTCCAGCCTGAGACCCATGCCACAAGAGGGAGCCTACCCCTGGTGCTGCCTGGAACTCCAGGAACCAGAGCCTGGATAGCCTAGAGACCTAGCATAGAACCAAACAGAACTGGCAAAAAAAAAAAAAAAAGTCAATGTAATGATGCCCAATGATATTCTGCTATATTCTTCGATGGGTGCCTAGCCCAATTGTCATCAGAGAAGCTTCCATCCAGCAATTGATGGAAGCAGATGCAGAGACCCACAGCCAAACATTAGGTGGAACTCGGGGAATCCTGTAGAAGAGGGGGAATAGGGATTGTGTAACCCTATTATCTATCCATCCATTACTGGGCACGTGGGCTGCTTGGTTGTTGTGAATAAGGTGGTGCATTAACACGCTGCATAAATCTTTCTTTGAGCTCCTACTTGGGATTCTTTGGGCATATAGACCAGGAAATAAAATTTTATATCATAGAATAATTCTGCTTTTAATTATTTGAAGAATCTCCTTATTGGTTTTCCAAAACAGCTACAGCTTGTTTCACCCTCACTTACGGCACGCATGCGTTCTGGTCTTGACACATCTCATGGTGTCTGTCATTTTCTAGTTCCTGTCTTC